GGCCTATAATTCTTCAAGCTCTCACATGATATCTGGTACTGATACAGGGGAGAGTCAATCTGGTGAAACTGAAGATTCAGTCACAAACAGAAACTATGGTACAGAGTCAGTAGAGTCTACAGATAACTCCTTGCTTGAATTGGAACAGCGTGTTGAAGAAGCTTGTGCAATGGTGGAAAGAGTGCTTAGGGAGAGAGAAGAAAGAGAAGAGTTTGGTCGGGAAATTGAAAGAAAAGAGCGTGAAATTCGAGCAGAGAGAGCACGAAAGAAGAGAGAAAGAGAAGCAAGGGAGCTAGAGGAAGCCAGAGGATGGCCTCAACAGCAGGAACCAGTTACTGGACAATCTTTATGGCTTTGTGAGCATTACCAACGTCATTGTAGAGTACGTTTCCCTTGCTGTAACAACTTCTATTCATGCCACCGTTGCCATAACAATTCCAAAGAATGTGACAATGAGGAAGCTAAAGCAAGTCATGCAACTCACCTTAAATGCAGCTATTGTCATCATGAACAAGAGGTGATGAAAGGTTTTTAGTTATGTTGTAAATTACAGTTATAAGAATTGCCATAGTTTTTTTTATTGGGAGTGGTAGAAAACGTATAGGAGGAGATTCATGTCCTTCTTTCCAGTAACTTTTGTTAACTGTTTTGGTGAGTTATTAATTACAATACATTCTCCACTGTTGCAAACTCACTTTGCATGTGTATGCACAATTTTAGTTTCCATTTAAATAAAAATTAAGCAAAACAAACCTCACTGCAAAGTCAGATACCAAAATGTTTTCTCCTTTCCATGGCAACTATACTGGCCACAGGTTGGAGTGCTGTTCTCTCTGATGAATGAGACAATCTATGTTAAGAACTTTGTGATCATAATTCCCACTAACTTAGAATGTGAGACTTACGATTTTCCAAATCATTTCCTTTCAGATTGGTGAAGACAGTGGCAAGTGTCGTAGCTGTGGAGCAAAGATGTCAGCATACTTCTGTGCTATTTGTAAACACTTTACCAGCATTGACAAAAATCCATATCATTGTGAAAAATGTGGAATATGCCGGTAACTGACCTGACAACGTTTTAAGTTAATAAAAAACTTTGCTGTTGTGTTTTTCACAACTTTTTATGTTTTGAAGCCACATGAGCTTTTTTGAGGCTCAAAGTTTCACTTTTCTTGTTAGTCATCTTTTTGGCAACCTACAGGTGTAGAATCGTAGAATGGTCACCAGAAAGTAAACACTTAAACAGCTCACATTTTGCCTAAATCTTTTTTTTTTCTCAATCCTACCTTGAAGCCAGCTTTACAAATTTGATTTTTCTACCTCTTAAAGCAGGGCATTGGTCTTATTATGTCATGTTTTTCTTTGTAGCATACATAAAGACAAATCGTTCCACTGTGATGTATGCAATGTCTGTCTTGACAAACGGCTTCAAGGAAAGCACAAGTGTAGGCCAGACTCTGGCCATGATGAATGCTGTATCTGTTTAGAGGTGAGCTGGTAAACTTCAAAATACTCAACCACTGGTTTCTTAATCATTTTTATTATTATTGTTACTATTACTGATATATTTTTAACAATTTTCCTTTCCACTTATTTTCCCATGAGTAAATTATCCCACTCTGTAAGTGTAACACTGTGTTCTTTCCAAACTGATGTATTGAAAATCACTTTCACACATGCTGTGTTCTGTGACCACTTAAAATTATACCTTCTGACATTTTGTCGTTTTTTTGTGAGAAGAAATATAAATGTAACACTTAAGATCCTGACATACTTTGAACAACTTTTCTAGCCCACTACATGTATATATACTATAAAACTTGTTTATACCTTACTTTTATCCCTTATTTCTGGACTATCTTTTAACACTGATTCAATCATAACTTCAGCATAAGAACTTTTCATTTTTGTTTTAATTATAGGATGCTTTCAGTGGATGTCAGATTTTACCCTGCTCACACAAGGTTCATCGAGAATGTGCAATAGCTATGATACAGAATGGAATGTAAGCACTTAATTCTTCAATATTCCTTCTCCACTTCTTTGCCTTGTTTGTTTCTTTGTATGTTGTTGTGCTAGACTACACAGTTTTCACTTCATAGTCATCATTTTTCCAGAGAAAGCAAATAGTAGAACCAAAGTTGAAAACTCTTATAAGTAACTACCTCTGATACACTACTGTGACCAGACTATTTGTTGTCATTGGAAATTCTCAGAACTTCTGAGATTACCCTCCTTTTGAGTTACCACTTAAGGTGGGTAACTAGCCTTGCATTTTATTTGTTTAATTAATTTTCCCTCAGAAAGTAGCAATTGGTCCTCTACTTGGTTGTAATAAGGCTTGTCTGGCTTATGGATGCTCTTCTGTGTTCTTGCAAATGAGGAAACCATTCCACAACTTGCTCTCTTGCATGTAGGGAATCAGGTTTCTGCTGTGTGTGATGTAACTTGTTAGTTAACTACAAGCAGCCAAAAAAAGCTATATGTATGTCAGTGATTAGTAATTGTATGTTTCATATTTTTTTGTTTTAGTCGCACATGCCCAGTGTGCAGACACCCATTATACAGCCCAGCTCCTGAGTGAAAATTGCTGCATTTTATGATGGTGACAATCAGCTGCACGTCATTCAAAAGAAGAAGCACTTTTAAGGGAGATGAAAAATTTTGGCAATTCTAATGTTAAAGTTTATATTTGTACATTGTTTGAGTTAAGGCTATTACTTTGCCATATTGGCAAAATGGATTTCAGTTAGGTTTTGGTAAAATACATGTTCTTTGAATGCTAAATATCTCTGATAAGGGAACAATTTTGTCTGGCTTTGCAAAAAAATTAAGACCATGCTTCTAAAATGGAAAAAAAAGGCACATAGTAGTTAAATAATTATCTTATTTATTGAAGTTCTGGCTTGTTGCTTGAAATTTATCTTTGCATAGTAAGAAGAAGAATTTATAAGAATCTTGTAGTCACATTATATTTTGTTATCAGTTTTATATAAGTTTAATTAAATATGAATATCATAAATTAAGTTGTTCTGGCTTTTATTTGGAGCGGATTTTTTAAATTGCCATCTACTTCTTCAGTTTGTGTGTGTTTTCTAAAGTCTCCACTCAGATTAGTATCAATAGTTTTGTTTACAAATTTTTTCCATATTTGGAACCGGCCCCAAGTATACCCCCCACACACCCCCTTGCCCCCGCACCCTCATGATTTTATAGTGTCTGTAAAGAAGCTTTTCTCGAAAGTCATAAAGTCCACCCAATTTGCTAGTTCGGAAAGAAAGGGAAAAGAAAAAGAGAAAACCCTATCCTTTAAGTTTTACTGTAATTTCCCCCGTAAATTTCATCGCTGCTCTACAGACAAAGGCTATCTTGTATTTTTACTCTTACGTCATCCTTATTGGTCCCAGTCGTCGGCACCAAGCGAAATGGATGGCGGAGAGACGTATACGGGCTCAGAGGAATCGCTTTATACGGGCTTGGAGGACAAAGATACAGGTTGAATTAAAACTGTTCAAATAGGTCTGATTAAACTGTAATGCATGTTAACTGTACGTAATTCGTCAGCAGCTTGAGGCATCAAAAGTTCCGACAAGGAGGATAAGGTCCAAGTTGCATGGCACACGGTAAGCGAAGAAGCCACGTTCTTCTTGCTTTTTCGTTCCATATTGTGAGAAAGACATTTGATGGCAAAATGTCGACCAAATATTGTTTCAATCTCGGCATAAAGGATTTTGTTGCCGGAGAAAGAAGGAAGATTGTCTAAACACGGGTTCGATATATTTGTAAGCATCATACCGAAAATTGCAATTGAATGTAGTGGACTTTGTTCAGGCGAAAGTGTGATCTAACTTCGGCGACAAAGATAATATTTATTATCTGTTAATCCATACAGATTACGACCTAACTTATTCTCGAGAAACCGTGTGACATTCATTCGTCAATCTTAACCTCGTATTGACATGCTTAAGCTCTCATATATATTTTTTTAAATCCAAGTTTTCGCCGAGTTTTTCTGGACTAAGCGCTAGTAGCTTAAAGACATCTGAGGGAAGAAGAAAGCTATCCAATTAACGTACTGAAAGTTAATTTACCTGCTCGAAAAAGGACCTCTGTTGTCATTATTCGTGAATGTCTCCTTAAGATCCACTGATGAGGATCTATATATATATTTCATTAAGTGTAAATTAAACGTTTCCGAAAGTGGTTTGCTTACCGGTAATCAGATTTGAGACACCAGATGTTAGAACGCTTTGAATATAAGTACACTTGATCATGAGATAGTTGTGATGTCTTTATATAGCATATTGAAAACAATATTGAACCAGATCAAAACACAGTCCTGAGAAATGTAATTTGATATTTGGCAAATCAATTTTTGTATTTTGTTATCTCAATAAAGTCATTTTTGTACAGCAATAATAGTGATATTGAATTCTGATACACACCTGAAATATACAGATTGGTACAGCTCTCAATTTATCTGTACATTACCAGTTCAAAATAATGTGTTACCTACTATAAACAGTTCATTAGTTTCACAATCTTTGAGAATTATAGTAAATAAGGATTGTACATGTGAAATGTGAAAACTTATTAGACAGAATATGTTTTATTCAATTGATGTCATTGATTCCTTAGATGGCATCTAATGTTGAAGAGGAGGTAAAACAATATGCAAGTGCTGGTAGAGAGGAGTCCTCTGAAGAACAAGGAGAGCCAGCAGCAGTGTACAATGTTAGCACAGCTATTCAGAAAAATGCTTTGGAAGCTATGGACATGTTGCAATTGGAGAAACAAAGAGTTAAGGAGGAGAATGAAATATTTAAGGAGTTTTTCAGTAAGATTATGGAATGTGGTGGAGATGAATATCGTCAAATAATAGAGAGAGGAGGTTGGTGATGATTCATTCAACATGATTATATAACATAGTGTTTGGTGTTCTTAATTGAAATATTGATATGGATACCTTTTGATATATGTGTCTTGTAGTATCCATGTACTTCAAACCAGATCTTCTGAATCAAACTAAAAATCTAAATTTTTACAGTGGCTCCCAAAAGTATTTATGAGTAAACCCCCTTCACCCTTCAGAGTGAAGGAGAAGGAACCTAGTTAATTTCTCACAAGAGATTTACTAGTTCAACCTATGGTTTAATAAGGCTTCTGTTTTTGGTGTCAATTTTTAGATTAAGTGATGTTACCATGACATCATCATCTCTGATGGAAGGTGGATATATTCTTATTTTGGGCCTAATACTGCAGGATCTTTGTAAAATGTCTTTTGTTCTTTGCCTCATTATGGAAACAATAATGCCTGACCTTTTGAAATGACTAAACTTTTCATTCATACATTTTTGCCATTATTCAGTGTCTAATGTGTCATTTTACTAAATACATTGGATTAATTCTGATAGATTTAAACAAAAACAGGCTATTTGATAGGAATTGTAAGTGGTCATCAATGGAAAGACACTAAGTCTCACTTGAAAGATCTCCTTTTTCTTACTTGCTTGATATTAAATCATGAAGTAGCTCTTTGCCAAGATGGATATCTGAGCTTGCCTAAACTTTTGAATCTTTTTCTATTTGGCAATCTTTTCCTAGGTGATTTCTTTTCTGTTGACTTCTTTTTCACACAAAGTAGGTCAATGGATAGTATGAGTATGGTTGCTTGAAACCCTAGAGTCTATTAGATGAAAACTGTGTTTTATGCTCTTTTTATACACCTTGCTTGAAAAAAATGAAGCAATTGTATCGAGCTACCATGTTAGTTTTGCTTGATGACAGTTTTAAAGCTAAAGCTATGATTGCATCCAGATCTGATGCAATCAAAGAGTTTGCGGAGCCTCCTTACCTGAGAGCCAGACAATTTTTTTGTTTGGTTCTTGTCATGGTGATGTCTGGTTCTATGAACAGTAATCGGGCTGTATTCAGGCTCTGTCAGGGTCCAAATTTTAGTACAGGAAGATCTCATTGTTTACTTTTCTTTTATAGTTTTAAACTTCACTGTAAATCAGTTGTGAGAGTTAGTGTTATACTGCAGCTGATCAGGTCATCTTTTGTCATCTCATGATGAATGGTGCTGATTTGTGCATATAATGTGTGGAAGGAATTAATCATTTTGATTTATTTCTTTTGCAGGTTTGAATTTACTTCAACATAAAGTGCAGGAGATCATAAATCCAGTTGGTAAAGCTGAAAGAGAGTATGGCCGAGGCACCACCATCAATAGCAACCATACCTGTGAATTGGAAGATGAAGTTGCATTCTACATGTCTCAGTGCTGTGAACAAAGAGAAGAATTAACACAAGTAAAAGAGAAGTTGAAGCTCTTTGAAGAGGAGAATGAAGATCTTCAAGCTGAAGTAGGAAGACAATTGTTTCTACAGGGCAAAGAAAGGCGCCTCAGAAATATTTGTCAGTCCCCCAGTAAATATGCAAGTGGAAAGAGTAAGCCTGGTAGAGCTACAGGTGCTTGGTATAGCTCTTCATGTACAGATGTTAAACTACCTGATGGTGCAGGTCTAATGGAGGAATCAGGTAATGACTTCCTTTATTTAAACTTAGTACCACTTGGAATGTCAGGGTTGTCAAAATAATTAAGCCAGTAACTGGCATTTTTTTTTTGTTTACTCAGAAAAACATGCCAACCATTCCCAGTGTTTGTGGGATAATATTCAGCTTGGAAGAATGATATTGCACTGCCTACTTTGTATTACAAACTGTTACTCAAAATCATATATCTTTCTTCTACTACAAACTTTGCACTTTGAAATACATTACTTAAGTTGCCTTTAAGGTGGCACCGAGGTTAAATTCAGTGAATTTTATCTCAATTTTTGAATGAACTTGACTCAAATGTCTAAAAAGGGGACTCAAGCCTTGATGTTCAAAGTTTTTGAGAATCTAGGATTGAGAATTTGGGAGGAGTTTGAAAGGACTGTCAACTTACTTTTGAGTGGTACTGATGTTTGATTTTACCTTGGTATTGGTCAGCCACTATTTTTTCCATTCCTATCACATTTTCAACAGAATTTTGTGTGAAACTACAGAAATCTTTTGTGTGTTTGTTGGGTTGTTGGTACATGGAGCTAAGTACTAACTAGGCCAGTTTGATCAAGAGAAGGGGTACTGGATACTAATAGCCTTTGAGGCATAAATTTTCATCACAGAACAAGGAAGGCGACCTACTTTACAGCAAATCCATGGCTATAAATGCAAGCTTGTGCCTATGTACAAAAGTGGCTCTTTTAAACTTGCACGAACAATATTTAGGAGTAATGTTAATTTATGCAATAATTATCTTGTCTGAAAGATGATCACCATTAAGCATGCTTGATTGGTAAAGGTCATGGCTTTCTGTCTTTAGCTTTCAATAATGCACCTCAAAAGGGAGATTTTGCGTAGTCTGGAACCTTGTTGTATTGTGATTTAGTCAGTATGTCAAGTTACAACTAAAACTTGGTGCTGTACCTTGAAATTCCTTTACAATAAATAAGATTCTCAAAATTTCACCTTTCTTTGGATAAGTATACATACATGCATTATACCATTCCAAGAAGGTATTGATTTGAATGAGAATAACACTTGCATTTGTAATCCATCGTTTTGATCTTGTAGAGAAACTTGTTGAACCTTTTCACAATGGTGAGGAATCATGTAGACGGGAATGTTGTTCACCTCAAGAAAGTGAACTACTTAATGAAGTGTCGGGAAGTGCTTCTGGTGTCGATAGTAAACAATGTGATGAAGTGGAAGAAGGGAAAGAAATATTTGACAGCACTGAAGTTGATGAAGAGGACAAAGTGTGTGACAATTCCAACATAAACTCAGTTAACAGTGATAGTGAGGGAGCTGCTGTTACTTTTCATGCAGAGAATGTGAATGGATCAATTTTTTTTGGAGATGTGGATTTGTCACAGGAGAGATATGATTCAGCCTCAAGCTTGTCTCAGTCATTTGATGTGCCATATATTGGATTGGAATCCCAAGAGAGGTCTTCACCTTCATTTACAAGTGAACAATCTGAGAGTGAAAGGCTGACAGAGGCATGTGCTGCAAATGGCCAAAGGGACAAAGAAGGGGCAGATGATTTCTCTTTTCCTGATGGTGCAAAGACACAATTCTATTTTAATCATCACTCTAATGACACTGTAGATGGTGCAGATAATTTACCAGAGAGAGCCCAAGATAGTTTAAAGCAAGAAGACTTAACTAGTGTGAATCGAGATTCACCTCAGAGGCAAAATGTTTCAGGTGCAAGGTTCACTGCTCAAAAGGACACAGCAACAGATCAGTCTGACTCTCATGTGAGCAATCAGTCAAAGAAATGGGAGCATTTAGGGGCCAGGCCAAGAGACAGACCTCCTAAAACAGACAGATGTCCAGAACCTTCTTTGCTAAACTCATTGGAAGACTTGGCCCCTCAACAAGGTGCTGGACCTGTGGCTTATGGAGTGGCCAACACATTCTTAGCGAGACACTCAGAAGACAAACATCTTCACGAAAGTTTATATTACACTAATGCAGAGAAGATGTTGACTGAGAATTCTTCATTACAAGGAGCTTCTCATGTAGACAGTGTGATAAACGTGACAGACTCAAATAAAGCTCAACTGTACTTTGGTGAATGTCAAGTTCCTTTCAGGCCAGATCCATATTCTCAAACATATGCATCATTGTTCCCTCAGACTAGTGGAGCATTTATTGGAGGAAATAATAGTTCAAACCATGTCACTGAGTTAGTGGAGTCTCCAAGCAACTGTCTGTATGAAAGGGAACAGCATGCTGATGAAGATTGTGCATTGGTGAAGACAGTGCCTAGGGAGAGAGAAGAAAGGGAAAAGTCTGGCCAAGAGAGACAAGAGCATGAATTCCAACCAGAAAGAGCACCACAGAGACAAAGGGATGAAAGGGAGCCACAGGTAGCCTTTAGGGGGCAAGAGTGTCAAGAGGCATTGGGAAGACCCATCATGTGTCAGGAGGTAAGAGACTGTTCTGAATACAATTGTATGTTATTGTATCAGAGTTGAGTGAGGAGTTGTCAGTCAAGTGTTTTAAGTCAGGTTGGTACCACCGTGTGGAATTAATTTGGAACCAAAGTGTGTACCAAAAGTGTACTTCTTTGTATACTTTTTGTATAGTACCAGTCTTCCTAAGAGGACATTGTGATTTTTACATTCTGTATACAATTTTGCATAGTAATAGTGTTGCTGGAGCAAACCCTGGTGGTTAAATATATTTTGTATGGTATAACTGTGTTGCCCTAATGATAAATATTTTATGTATGCGTTCTCTATACAGAGCATTGTTACTCACCCTGTGTCCTTTTTTGAAAGTCTAAGACTTATTGGCAGCTTTTGACAAGAGGTAGTGGCTGTAGCTGAAGCTGAAATGACTTGCTATTGATTTAGGGGGCTTAAAATGGGGCATCAAATTGAGAAATCAAAGAGCAGCCATTGAGCTCACAGTGAAATGTGGAGGTGAACACAAGAAGAGAAATTTCTTATCTACAAGCAACCATGTATTATTTTGTTTATCATATAAACACAATAGCCCCTTACTGACAAGAAAAGTCAACTTTATTGATGAATGAATGGCTGTGCTGTTTATTCATCAACCTGACCAAGTGGTGCAAAAAAATATTTTTTCACATGTGCTGTTATATGGCTTTTCTCAGGGCTGGAAATCCTTGTATGGCATGGTGTCTCTTAAATTGCAATGTTTTTGAAAAGGGATATATGTATATATCCATGGAATTAAAGTGGGTTTGTGGTCATCTCTTGAATATTGCATCAAAATTATACTTTTTATCTAAAATTGCAACTTCTGGATGCTTTACTAAAATTTTTGGTAACAGCAAATATGGCCAGATATGCTAGTGTATGGGAGGGCATAGATTTTGATTTTGAGCAAACAGGGTCACTGCCTATTGCAGAATATAGATTTCAGATGTGGATCCCAATTGAAGAGGCTTTGGTTAAAAAATTACTGTTTCCTTACAGGAGAGGTATATTGGGATGCCAACCACCTTAGTTGTAGATGCATTAGACTCCACTCACAACAATGCTCAGGCCTTTGTACAGGGTGTTAGAGATGCAAGCAGGAGGATTTCAGCAGGGAACCCACAGTTCAGAAGATGTTCTGTTCAGGAACATGTAAGCTATTGATGATTCTTGTACAGTTGGATATTAAAATTAAAGGTTCTGTCAGTCATTATGCAACCAAAATTTGCATGGGAGGCTCAGAAAACCATGAATGCCAGAACTGTTTTTGCAATGTTGTCAAGTCTCCAAAGAATAAACCAGTCACAAGAGAACTTAACTGGGTGCTTGGAGATCTCATTCAATATTGTGTATTACTTGTTAAGGGCTCCCTCAAATATTGTCAAGTAGAACAAGGGATTTTTTGTGTAGTCTACCCTGGTGTCCTTAACTGCCAAATGTCAGACAAAAAAAATTTGAAAATGATCAGTCTAGTGTGTTGAAAAAACTAGCTTCTGAAGTAAATTCTGAATTATTTTTTTAATTGTTATCTTATGGTTTTTCTTTGATAGTATGATCAAGATGCTAGCCCTGCAATCTGTACAACTTGTCACAGGTATCGACATCTGTAAGTATAAATCAGCAGCAAAAAAACATAAGATTTCTATTCTCCCCTGCCCATGTGTACTTTTGAACTTGATTCCATTTTGATACAAAAAGATACACAAAAAACCAGGAAAGAGTAATGGTGGGAGATATAGTGGTATGCTGGTTAACCCTTTAACTCCCAAGATGTCATTAGTAATTCTTCTTACTGTCTGCCAAACTTTCAATTCTCATTCTGTTAGTTTGGAGAATTTGGTGTCAGATCAATTAGTAATCCCATAATTGATATTTTATGGGAATATAGTTGACCCGCTTTGACTCTGTCATGTGCCAATGTTAATGTCATCTGTAAATAACTCATTGGTAAATAAAGGTTTATGTTCATGAATTCATGTGGTATCTTTGATCTATCTTTTCTTCAGTGGACCATGCAGGGTAGGAGTTCAGAGCTGCCATGATGAGTGCTGCATCTGTCAGATGGTAATTTTATTGTTGCTATTAAGCATACAGTGACAATTTGTGAGCTTAGTGGACATACAGTTGAACCTTAGTCTATGAATCACATGGTGTTAACCTGCAATTTTCTCCAATTTTCCAGCCATGCACTATTATGTAACACTACATCCAAATTCCTTCATATCTGTCTGTTCTCGCCCGCCCCCCTGCCCTCTTTCCTCCTTTGTAAGAGGGTTAGCTGTTCCACTCCTGAGATATAGATATCATTTCTCTACACTGTGTGCCCCACAGATCTCTGAACATTTTGGCTTTAAGAATATGGTGTTAAAAAAAAATCAATTTGTTGATGTTCTTCTTTCCCCTTCTACTTGAGAAATAACTTCCTGGAATGTCAGGGTTATTTTCATTAAGTGGAGGTGGAAAGAACTGATCCTTAAAATGTGACAAAGAATAAAATTAAAGTTTTATTCCCCTCTGTTGAGATCGACTAACCAAAAAGATATTAGCTGTTCATCATTCCATTAGTTACTTTTTGCCTGCAACTGAAGATACCTTTTTTACGTGAGAACAACACTCTTTTTAAATTGGACCTCTGTATTTGCAGGATACATCTAGCGGTTTACATATTTTGCAGTGCTCACACAGGGTTCATGTGGAGTGTATTGTTTGGCTGATACAGCGCAACATGTAAGTTTGTTACAATTCAGCAAGTTCTAGCAATCCTCCATCATAATTGAATGGCCAAACTGGTACATTCTATTTTGTAGTTATACTTAGGCATTCTCTTTCTTTTGGTCACCATGCAGTCTCTGCAATCATGCTGATCCACTTCATATTCAAATTATAGGAGATGGTTAACCATTGTAAAAATTTTTAAGACCATCTTCACTATCATTTGCAAATAAAAATTCTCGTGCGTAAGCTGGTAATTTATGTCTGAAAAGTATGTGTGTATTTATTTTTCAGATTAAATTGCCCATCTTGCTTTGGTGCCTTTTTTCCATCAAGTTAATTGTGCTCCAAGGTGTAGTCCAAGGTTGTTTAGGTAGTAGAACTTCTAAAGAGTGAATCACTCACAAAGTTTGGAAAGTTTCTTTTTAGCATCAGTAAGATGTATATGTCTTCGTTACTTATAAAACTTTCATTTGTTTAAACTATGTAATAATTTAAGTAACAATTAATTGACATGTATGATATGAAAGAACATAAGATGTTAATGTAAAATGTTCAGGTAAACAAGTAGTATCGTTATGAAACCAAGGTAAACAATACCCATAGAATCATTCATTCTATGTTGATACTGGACTTCTACTTGGATGGTCATCTGGTTATTTCGAAGCTAATTCTAGGTCAGATAGTGACTTTAATTCATTAACTACTCGTTTCTTAACAAGTGACTTTGCACTTAGTATGAGAGAGCTTCAAGTACTAAGATGTGGGCCTCTTCTATCTCTGCAAATTAATTGACTAATCATTCAAGGTTCAGCATTGAGTTCTTACTTGACTGAGATGGTCCCTGAATCTCAAAGATCTGCAACACCTGCCACAAATGCTGGGAGAAATCTTGATAAAGATTATTGCCAATATAGAAGTTCTGAGATGAACAGAAACTATGATAGAAACTCATTGGAGTTGCCTGACATTTTCCTGCTTGAAGTGGAATAGCTAAAAGAGAGGAGATTGAGAAGTGTTTGATTGAAAGAAAGGGTGTGAAATAGCAGCAGAAATTGCAAGAAAGGAGGCAGGGAGCTGGAGAAAGCCAGATGATGGCAACAATGTCCAGAGGTGGTGAGAAGACCCTTGCATTTTTGGAAGGTAAGAGTTCTTGTAAAGTGAAGTGTCTACCATGAAGGCCTTTTGCTTCCATTCTTCAAGGCCTCTATTAGTTTGCAATTGCTACCAAGAGGTTGTGCATTTTAGCAGCAAATTGAAGAAGTTGGTGAGATGTTCCTTAATTACAGGCATAAATTGATTTGTTTTCCTCTAGATAGCTTATAAAGATATAATTCTTCTTGAGGTTTGTTTTAGATAATAACAGTTCTTTTTCCTTACTAGAATTCTCTTAATTCTATGAGCTTCCTGTTGCACAACCAACAGCTCTCACAACCAACAGCTCTTAGGTATTGCTACAAGCAGTATAAAAGAGCAGCATGGATGAGGATTTCAGCAGAGAACCCACAGATCATGGTACAAATGTACTGGTGAAGAGGTAAGCAACTGATATTTACTTAGGAATAAAAAGTTAGCCATTGATATACAGGTTATGTCAGGTCAGGTAGTAACCATGTTCAACAATTGCTTGAAGAGCTGTTACTGTAAAACTCAGAAAACCTATGAACATCACAAATATTTCTGGAATATGTTATAAACTTAAGAAGGACAAACCAATGATGCGAAAGAGAGCTGAACTGTCAGCTTGCAGATCTCATTTTGTTTGTTATATGATTGGTCGATCATTACAGAATAAACAGTGAATATGAACCCTAGGTAGTGGAAGGGAATTGCTAAAGTTGTGTGAGGAAGCTCATATACATTCCGTTTTTAGTTTGATAGAAAATGGATGGTCTCTAGTGAGACCTTGAGCTTTTGTAAAAATTAAGAATTCATTTTCAAGCTTTTGCTGATCCATGGAAACCGCTTTATAATTTCACAATGCTACTGAAAAACAACATGAAAAAGTTACTGTTTGTTTTGATTCTGTTTTGTTTTTCTGTGTTAATTTCATGGGGTTTATCCCTTTTTGGTATGGTGAAGTTAAGTCAATATAATTTTTGTTGTTTAAAACAAGGAATTTTTATGTAGTTCTTTTGATCTACAATTGATCCCATGATGTGTTTGGGAATGAGGTTAAGGAGCTTGCTGTTTATCGTATTTGGTAAAGCTTTTACTGATTCAATTACAAAGAAATATTATCAAGCCATATGCCCATATAGTGGACAAAGCATTTTTTGAAAACAAGTAGTTTCATGTTTGAGAGAAAACTAGCTTTTGAAATCTGAATACTTGTTTTAAATGAAAGGTCTCGAGATAAGGGTCTGTTTGTTTTCAACTAATTTATTAATTTTTGTTTGTTTGTTTGTTTGTTTTTTTAATAGCATGACCAAGATGCAAGCCCATTTGGTACAACTTGTTTCAAGTGTATATATTTTCTTTTACGAAGTAAAATGAGAGAAGAAAAGATTATTACGTTTAATGGAGATCACACCTATACTATAAAACAATCATTATTGTCTAACCTGGTGAATCTCATAGTGTTCTTTAAAAAGCCTTCTATCATTTTTTATTTTATTATTTCATTTGACATATTTTTATTTATTTCCTCCTTAGTTTAAATATATTTAACAAAGAAGAGAACGTGTGATAAATAAGTAGGAATATTATTGTAAAATGTAACACGATGAAGTGGCAGAGGATAATTAAGACTATAGACATGGCCTTGTTTTAAGTTATGTAGGTTCTGAGGTTAAAGTAAAAAGTAGTATTAATGACTTGTATTCTGCTTAATGTCTCTTGATTGGGGTCCCTCCTGATTTTAATTATCTTATATATACTCATAACACTTCCTTTGGCAAGTTTACAGACAAATGGTTAAACTAGATTGTGATTTGCGTAGGTGATTCCATGATATTACTGTGATTCTATGATTTTACAGCCCAGTAATTCGATGATATCACAGCCCAGTCGAACAGAAACCTAAATTAGGGAGGTTGAAAGTGCAGATTATATATGTGTATGCTGTATGCTGTATGCTGTGGGAAAGGGGGTTGGGGGCAGATACAACCTTTAATTTTGGTTCCGTTTAGCTGTAAATCGAAATACCTTATATGATGAAATTTCAATCATAACATAGCTAGTAAATTTGTCTGATTAAATTCAATTGCGCGAGCATGCGTCATATTCCTATTGTGCACGCTCATGACGTCAGCAAACATATCCCTCGAGAAAAATTTTTCCATCGGGTTAAAAATGTTATAAAACAATTGGTTCATACGTCAGCTGTGCGTTCATCGAGATATGAAGCACGCGGGAAGTTTGGAGAGCAACTCTAGCTTCTTGAGTGCTCTCTAAACTTCCCGCGTGCTTCATATCTCGATGAATGCACGCTGACGTATGAACCAATTGTTAATGAGCGTATAAAAATAGTTTAATTCATGGTGAGTTCTTTTTCGTGATACATGATCAGTAAGTACGAACAGACCCAATTTGTAGTTCAAAGTGAAACCTTTTTAGTACGTGGTCCCATCGTTTTCAAAGCAAGAAACAATTTGGAAGCGAAAGAAAAGATACACGTTGCAACCACGTTGCTGTTCTTTGAAATGTCTGCGATAAATAGCATGCATTATTGTGGTGAATCAAGGAGGGAACGGTTATCAGTCCTCCCTTCCCCCCACATTTTTTTGTGAGGAAATTTCTCCGGCGTAGCAAATCATTTTATCGTTTGATCAAGAACGCGCTTCGCGTAGGGATGCCTTGCAGGATTTTAGTTTTAAACAGCTCTCTGCTGATGCATTGTCATAAATTCATTGCAAACACATTGGACACTGTCACGATTGCACATTTATTTGCATCACCAGCGAACTATGTAAAAGATATCTAACAAATTTTTTTTAAGGGAGATGCGTCAGACTTGGTGTATGACGAATCCCTCCGCCCTTTTTTTATCCCTTCATGCTTCACCCGAACGGGGGATTCCCATTGAATCATTTTCTCATTTGCAATTGTCCGTGTAAGGTCCATAACAGGTCGGCATACATGATTATAATTTTTTTTTTATGGTTCACAATGTGTTCCATTTCTAAAACGTTAACACGCATCTTCCCTTAGTTACCCATTTTAAAGCACGTTCATCCCCACCTACCCTAAATTAACCATGTTCTACAAAGTAAAACCCCCATTTACCCAAAGTTAACTATGTTCTACCACATTAACCCGCATCTTTCCTAAGTTAACCATGTTTTACCAAGTTGAACCACATTTACCCTAAGTTAACCATGTTCTACTACATTAACCCACATCTTTCCTAAGTTCCTAAGTTAACCATGTTCTACGACATTAACCTTTATTTATACTTATTTAACTAGGTGTACCACATTAACCCACATCTACCCTAGGTTAACCATGATTTATCACGTTAATCCTCATGTGCCCTTAGCTAACCATGGTCTACCACATTAGCCAACATTAATTACCACATTAATTCACATTTACCCTCAGCTAACCACGTCCACATTAATCAACATCTTCCCTAAGTTAACCATGTTCTACCACATTAACCCACATTTTCCCTAAGTTAACCACATTGTACCACGTTTACTCATATCTACCCTAAGTTAACCATGTGAATATGAAAGTGATCTTCGTAGGGAGCTGGTCATTATGTTGGTTCCAAATAAACCCGTGAAATGGTGATAAGCAACTATGAATATATGAAAGTCACATATTTGAACTGCGGATAAAGAAGTGAATATGAAAGCGATCTTCGCAATCTTCCATGTCCACCCTCGTTTACTCTGAGCCATGACAACTGATCAGGGTTTCACTATTGTTTTCTATTGTTTCACTTGCCTGGAACATGAACAGGGATGCTCCTCTTTATGCTCCTATGTGATTTGCGAAAATATGCACAGTGTCCGTTCTCGCCCTTCCTCAAGACCGTCAGGGGTGAAGAGGGAAAGATCACTCGGTATCTACCAAAGGTTGAAGGGCTCTGAGTTCTTATCGTCGGCAGGAATTCCGCAAATACGTGGACCGTGGATGAATTATGAGTCAGTTTTGTCAGGAAGTGTGATGAAAGTTATTACTCTAACAAATGTAGAACCCCCTCCAGGACATTTCCACAATGCACAATTTCGTTTTAAGTTCTAACAATGATAACAATGTTAACTTGGAGAAGATGGGGTTTAACGTGGTAAAACATGGTTACCTAAGGGTAGATGAGAATTAATTAGGAGTAGATGTCGGGGGTTAATTAAGAGTTGATGTAGGTTAATGCGGTAAAACATGGTTAACTTAGAGTAGATGTGGGTTAATGTAGTGGAACATGATTAACTAAAGGGTAAATTTGGGTTAATGTGGTAGAACATGGTTAACTTAGGGTAGATGGGGGTTAATGTGGTAGAACATGGTTAATTTAGGGTAGATGTGAGTTAATATGGTAAATAGAGAATAATACATGGGCGCGCGTAGATATGGAATTTCTCTTCGAGTGTTTAACTCGATAGCTCACGAGTGAGCGCAGCGAACGAATGAGATGTCGAGTTGAACACGAGAAGAGAAATTCCATATCTACAAGCAACCATGTATTATTTTGTTTATCATATAAACACAATAGCCCTTTACTGGGAAGAAAAGCCGACTTCATTAATGAATGAAAATAAATGAATCGGCAATCCTCGAATAATAATCGTATAGTGCGTTGGCGCTGACTCTTCAGATGGAAAAATGCGTTGAATCATGATTACAAAAACAACAATGGTCGTAATTTTGAATTTACAAAATTCTCATTAATTGAATTTGTCCTTACCGACAGAGGAAGTCTTTCAGGTAAACGGCCAAAGTCGGCCAGTAGCAAATCTTCCAGTTGTCGATTTTCATTCTCAGACGAGAGAAATTCTAACACCAAAGCCACTCAATACGCAACTTTCGGTTTTTCTTTTAGTATATTGGTCTTCTTCGCTTTCTAGGAAAGTTTGAACCTCATTGTCTGCCAGCGATACGGATTTTTTAGTGTTTTAGCCGCCATAATTCGAGAAAAACTCCGACAAACAACTTGTATTGAGAATCGTGAAGGCTTTGCCGTTCATTCATCAACCTGACCGAGTGGCGCCAAAGGCGAGTGACATGTGAGCAGCTGATTGGCTATATCAACACACGTGAAAAAATACAATATTTTTTCACGTGTGTTATTACGGCTTTTCTCAGGGCCGGAACACCGCAGTTTATGTGATAAAACATGGTTAACTAAGGGTAAATGGGGGTTAGTGTGGTAGAGCATGGGTAACTAAAGGTATATATAAGTAGAAGTAGAAGATGGTTAACTGAGGATAGATATGGTTTAATGTGGTTAAACATGGTTAAAGAGGGGTCTTTGTGGTTTAATATGGTAGAACATGGTTAACTTAGTGAGGATGTAGGTTAATGTGTTAGAACATGGTTAAATTAGGGTAGATGGGTGTTAATGTGGTAGAACATGGCTTAATTGGAGTAGATGTGGGTTCACGTGGTAGAACATGGTTAACTTAGGGAGAATGTGGGTTAATGTGGTAGAACATAGTTAACGAAGGGAATGTGGGAATTAATATAGTAGAACATTAAGAAATCACTGGTCGAGGCAAAAACCCGCATTTCGGCAATGCAGGAGGAGATTCGTAGTTTGGAGGCTACGGTACATTCGGCCGAAAATATCTTCGGGAACTGTTCTTCACTTTTACTGCTTAAACCGATGTTTGCCAACTTAAAATTTAGCACGCTTAGAATACAAGTTGGCGATTACTTGAAATCCTATGGAAAATTCTGTTTTTCAGTTCTCTGTACCAGATTTTCATGTAGTTAAACCAGGTTTAACAACTGTGTTTTGCTGGTGTGGATGAGGTATTAGTTTTATTTATTGAAAGTGGGTATAGAAATTTTATTCTGAATATAAATGTTACAGTCCGCACTACAAAAAGTTTAAAAAACACACACATATTTATCCATATTAAATTAATTTATTCAGTCAAGCAAAGTTGTTTGTTTTATATGTCTGTGGAGTCAAGATTTTTAGAGTAAAAAGGTTGATACAAATTATTAGAAGACAAAAAGTCAATTACTATTTTAAATTACCAGTATGTATTTAAGATATTTGAACATTTTCGGTGACAAGTTTTTGAAGAACTGATATGAATTACTTGTAGCATTGATATGATGTTTACAACATCTGTTACAGAAGATATTTTACGTAGCTGCACGAAGTTATGAGTTATGCCAATTTATCAAATGACCTTTACTGGCATGGATGTGCAATCCCATAGGGGTCAAACTTTGTTGTGACCATTGTGGTGACGAATGTTGTTGTTGATAAGAGTACAGACTACACCAAACCACTTTTGCTACACTTGGTCCATACGTGATGACCTGGAGCCAAATATTTCTCCGTCTGGCCCTGCCACTTAGGTACTTAGTACATACTGTTATATTAAATCCATTTTGAATTCAATGGGGATCCTTGCAATCTGATTGATAAAAACTTATTCATTGACGATTAAAATATTTTGAGGTTTTTGAATTTGGGTAGCCTGTTGTGAAGTACAACACTTAACTGTCCAGTATTTTATACTGTGAAGTATTAAATAAGAAATATTTTTTTCTGCCACACTACCAAATCATTTTTCAACTGTTATTTGGTTCTTAGACTAACCTCTTTTTTCCAGTCGGCGCAATCAGCAAGGTTCTCGGCTCACAACAGGTATTACCTTTGA